TAAAGAGGCAGCAGGGGACCCGGCTGACACACTCTTCAAAACCACAGAGGCCCCCATGGGGACCTTAGATCTGGTGTCAGCCCAAGTGAGACTCTGCCATTCCCTCTCTCTGCTATTCAGTGGCAACTCTGAACTTTGGACGCTGGGTGTCCTGCCCAGGCAGAATTGCTCAGAAGCTCCCGTGGTGGTGTTAACTCAAAGTGGGGTCCTTGGGCCATGCCCAAGGGTGCTTGTTAAAAGGATTCTTGGGCTCCTGCTCTTCTGACCTAAAGCAAAGAGCCGGAGTCAGTCTGTTTAACAAGCTCTCCCAGGTGGTTCTCATGCACTCAGGTTAGAATCCCAAAAGTAAAATAACCCAGGGAACAAAAGGAAGCTATTGGGGAAAGTGAGGCATAGCTGAGCTGAATTAGCAAAGTGGGTCTGAGGCCAGGCGCTTTCAGGCTCCACCTGGAGAAGGATGGGAGAGGGGCTTGTGACACAGTCCAGTTGATAGTTACTGCCTTGACGGTGTTTCCCTTCGAGGGCTGCCCAGCCACTCGCTTTTGAAGCCCCAAGCAAGAGTGATGTCGCGGGGCAACACCCATTTTTATACCACGCACCAGCTGCCCTCTGGTCACAAGGCAGGCTTATAAGCCAGCCAGAGCAAGGCTGTCTGTCAGGCCTGTGCACCAGGCTCCATTCTGGACAGCCTCTGGGAGCATGAAACTAGAGCCTTTCTTTGTTCAAAACAGTTTCTCTAGCCTGAGGAGGAAACCCAGGCAGGGGAAAGGAGTTTGCCAGCCTCTGCCTTGGACGTACAGTGGAAAAACCACAGTAAGAATGAAGACCCTTGTGAAGCACGGCTAGATCACAAATGGGCTAAGACAGAATGTCCTTCAATGTTTGGGGTTTACTAAGGCATGGGCTAATTAATATGTTCCAGACTTTCCCCGGGAAGGGGATAAACAAAAATTTTCTAGATAATTCCTCAGGTAGAAAATCAAATTGGCCAAATACCCCATTCCTGGCCCAGTTTGGATAAGCAGGCTTAACCGTATGCAGGACTGGAGTGATGGCATCAGGCAGGCCCCCACTCGAGTTCTAGAGGCTCTCCCAGCAAACCGTCATCACCCAGCTGGTAAGTGTTATCTTTGTCAGGGTCAGGGTGGGGCAAAGAGCCTGAGCAGCTGCAGAACCCGTGCCTGAGTGTTTAGGTCACAGGCTTCTGAGCCTGCCTGTCTGGATTGGTTCTGGGTGATGCCGCCCTGGTTTCCTGAGGCATAGTACGAGGACAGCAGTAGCACAAAATACCATTGTGAGGCATAAGGGTGTAAGTGTGAAAACCCTTGAACTGTGCCTGGCACTTAGTAAGTACTCAAATGTTAGCAATTCTTAGGTCTGTCTGCCATCATAGGTCCTGGCCCATGCAACCATTTCTGTTTGGGCTTTGTTACACCCCATCCTTCAATGTATTAAAATCCTTAAAAGAAAGGGGAAGTAAATATGTGTTGATTACTAAAGGGTGGTAACAAAGAGTTCCTCCTTTCTGAAGGAACTCAAGCAAGACCACGAATCTGTTACCATTTGAAAAAATCTGGACTTGGGAAATGAAATATACCCTTGCTGGCTGGATCGGAACCATTGACCATTACCACACTGGTTACTTCGCCCATTCTCTGTCCTGGTTTCAGCTTATATTTCTGTAATGCCCAGTGGCCCTCGCTGTGCTAGGGAAGCCCATCTCGTGCCTGCCCAGTGTTTCCTGAAAGGCCTGGTCACGATAGTGGTTGAGCCCCTGCTTTTCAGCCTTCCCGCGCAGGGGCCCCTTGAGCAGAGTCTGCCTGGTGGTGAGGTGGGGACAGACTAGCCTGTTGGCTCTGTGTGGTCTAATGACTGGACCCCAGGGCCCACGTGCTCTAGCTCACCCTGGCTGACCTGTGTGTGCCCTGTGCACACACACACCTAGCAGGATGGGCATGTGTAGAAGAGAGCCAAACAGGTGGCCCTGCACAATTCACAACCAGCTGAGCGGGTTCCCTCCTGTGCCCTGTGCTGGATGCCAGCTGCACCAGCAGGCCTGCTCTGACTGCCAGGCTCTGGTCAGGATTGTTTTCCTCTGATGTCTGTTGCAGGAGGGGGGCCCTTGTACACCTACAGCTTATCCAGCACAGTCTCTGCTATTAATCTTTTCCAGTAAATTAAAGGCCAGAGAAAAACAAAGAAAGAAGAATAATAATCAAGGATCCACTGTTAAGAAATCTGTGCCAGAACCTTCCACTCCAACGTTGAACATGGTGAGGGTTTGAGCCTCCTGCCAAGAAAAAGAGAAACCTGACAGCTACCACGGCAGGCCGGTGGGGAGAGGCGCACACTCCACCAGCAGGCTCCTGCAAGGGCCCAATGAGCCGTGCAAAGTCTGGTTCAGGAAATAACCAAATGGACGTGCAGAGCTGCTGCCCACACCCCTGGTCACTCATCACGAGCCAGAGGAGTCCAGCTGGCAGTGTGGCTCCCACGCACATGCTGGAGAGCTTCATTGTTTCCTATCTCCCGGTGCCATCAACAGCTCAGAGGTGGCAGGGGCAGATCTGGGGCTAAAGGCTGCCCAAAGCGGCCAATGGCTTTGGGCCAAAAGGCCACAGCAAGGCCAGCCAGCTGAGAGGAGGTATGTCACGTCCACAGCAAACACCTACTGGAAGGCTAGTGGGAGACTTCGGGTAGGAGATCTCTGGTTCAAACAACTCGACTGTGTTTCCCATCCAGGAAATGAGTCCAGGGCCCCCTCCTCTGCAGAGAGCTGCCGTGGACACTTGAGCAGGCGTTTCCCACTGGGAGCTCCAGGAGGCCAGGCACTGGTCTCTGTGCTTGCTGCTGCACCCCTAGCGCAGTGCCCCTATCACGGGTACCCCACAGATACATAGGTGTGTGCGTGACAATGGGCTGAGGGTGAGGTAGGGACAGACTAGCCTGTTGGCTCTGTGTGGTCTAGTGACTGGACCCCAGGGCCCACATGCTCTAGCTCAGCCTGGCTGACCTCTGTGTGCCCAGTGCACACACACACACACACCCCTAGCAGGATGGGTGTGTCTATAAGTTCATTTCTGTGGACTTCTAGGTCAGTCCTGGGGTTGCTCTGCGTGAGTTCAACCAACGGACATTTGAGTGGCACCTGTTCTCAGCCCAGCATCGAGCCAGGCACTGGGGAGATTTGGGGCAGCTAATGGAGCCTGGGCCCTGCTTTCAAGAAGCTCAGAGTAGGTAGAGACCAGCCTCGTGCACATGGCACTAATGCCAGAGGAGTTGAGAAGCTGGGCCCTCGAGGAGAGGGTTGGCATATGGGAGGGGCAAGGGTCAGGGCCAGGTCATCACTTCTCCAGCCTTGATGTGCCCTCCTTCCTCCCCCCGCTGTGCAGTGGGCAGAGAGGCTGGGTGGAGGCTGCTGGTGAAGGGAAGGTGGGTCAGAGCCTCCCCTCTGCATGGGCTGGATCACCACATTCCACCACATTCACTGGCCATCCCGGTACCCAGGCCCATGGCAGCCACTGCTCCCAAGAGGGAGGGAAGGGCTTGGGTGGAGCCTAGTAAAGTGTTAGCCTTTCTCAGGAGCACAGCATAGATCCCTGGTACTCATTTCATCACCACCATCGTCATCCACCTCACAGAGGTGCCAGTTGCAGGCGCTCACCACTGTCCTGTCAGGCACTGGTCAGCACACCTGGGGAGCAGAGCTCCTGCAGCCCTAGGGTCCACTAGCCTCCCTCTGAGAGAGCTGTGACATTGAGTCTGCTCTGATTCTGGTAGTGCAAGTCCCAGGCTCTTGTCATCCCCTTTGTCCCATCAGCCCAGACACAGCAGATTCGGCCCAGGTTCAGCACTTGGCAACAGGAAGTCTCACATCCAAGGTCACCAACATTCAGTACTTTTTATTTTGGAAGGAATTTAATGTGAGCAAAGGTTGAGAGAGTAGTATACTGAACCCTAATGTACCCATTCTCCAGTGTCAACAATTATCAACATGCAATACTTCTTGAAAGAAAAGGGATGAAAAAATGCATTATTATTAAAAGTAAGAAAGTGTGGGTATGTCAAAGGAACACAAGAGTCAACTGAAAGAGCCCCTAATGGCCAGAGCTGGAACCATTTGAGCAAGAAGGTAACACAGTAGTGGAGCATAACCCAAAGTATGGGTTATAAATATTCATGAGTCCATATTGATATAATGATTGAATAAATAAATAAATGGAGAATAGACAAGCTTCCCATACAGAAGAATTCCAAATAATTTATGTAGATACTCCACCCTCAAGGATGTGGGGTGTAACTCCCCATTCCTTAAGTGTAAGCTGTTCACATGGACATCTTTCTAAAGGGTAGTATGGAAAGGGGAAGAAAGAATCTTCTGGTGGGGAAACCTGCCAGACACTAGCTCACAGCATCAGTCGTGAGCCATGTTGGTAGCGTGTACCCTTGACAGGACGTGATGAGAGAGCACTGTACCTCTGTGGTCCTCCTCCCCAAGCCCAGAGCCCCACTCTAACCATGAGGAAAACTTCACACAAATCCCAAGTGAGGGACATTCTACAAAACACCTGACCAGTGCTCAAAACTGTCAAAGTCACCCAAAACAAGGAAGGTCTGAGAAACTGTCACAGCCAAGAGCAGCCTAAGGAGATGTGACAATTAAATGCAACGAGGTATCCTGGAGGAGATCCTGGGACAGAAAAGGTAAAAACTAAGGAATCCAAATAAAGTATGGACTTTAGTTAATAATAATGTATCAATATTGGTTCATTAGTTGTGACAAACACACCATATTAATGTAAGATGATGACAACAGGGGAAACTGGCTAGGAGGTATTTGGGAAGTCTGTGTACTATCCTTGCAATTTTTCTGTCAATCTGAAACTATTCTAAAATAAAAAGTTTATTTTTAAAAACGCATTATTATTATTGTTAATATTTTGCAAGAGCTGTGTTTTTCCCAGGGTGGGGTGGGGAGCAGAAGGCAAGGCAAGTTTTCCATTGAGCTGGGCTGGTGTGAGCCCTCTGTCCCCACCTGTCTGGTTTTGTTCTTGGACATGCTGAGAAGTAGGAGGGAGGAACATCAGCCGCCTGGCCCCATCCCCTGAACCTCCTGCACCAGCTGGTGAAAAGCAGAGGCAAGGTGGTTATTGCGGGAAAGTGACAGAGGATGTCCAGGAACTGGTTAGGCGTGCCGGGTGGGGATGGAGAAGGGTGGCTGCCATCGGGGCTGTGGTCAGCTCCCAGCAAGACTGACTCACCTCAGCCTTGCTGGTGAGTCACGCACAGCATCATACTCTGCACTGGAGTGGCGCACATTTGGTGCAAGGAGCGTCACTCTATGCCAGGGACTTGGCAGAGAGTGGAGGACGGGTAAGAAGGCTGAGGTGAGCCTGTCCCTGCTGTTGGCTATCACCATCCTGGTTCTGGTAAAAGATGGGGGCAGGCACACGGTGCCACAGTCATCCAGCCCTGGAGGTAACCCACGCATGCTTGGCTGCTGCCTCCCACCCCTGAGACCACCCGTTTCACTCCTTTAGAGCCCCGGGGTGGTGGAAGCACATGGGCTCTGGAGGCAGCAGATCTCCGTTCAGGTTCAGACTCCACCACTTGAGAGCTAGGAAACTTTGGGTGATTCGCTTAAGCTCTCTGACCTGTTTCTCTAGTTGTAAAATGCAGATAACACACCTGCCTCACCCACCTCATGAGGCTGAGTCAGGGATCGGATGAGGAGAGGCCGGAGACCAGGAGGAACTTGCTTAGGAGTTATTGTTTGGGTGGATGTGGCAAAGGTGGTCATTGTTCTTCAGGCAGCAGGTGAGGACCGTCATGGCCCTCGGGCTAATATGGGCTAGAGTTTCGTATGTATTAGGATGCTTTGAGTTCAAGTAATAGTAAATCCAACTCAAACTGGCTCACATAGCTGAAAAATCCAGAGGCAGAGCAAGCTGCAGGAGCAGTGTGATCCGAGTTCTGGCCATGTTTCTCAGTAAGTCTCTCAGGGATGCTGTGTGTAGTGGCTAAAGGCTGGCTTCCTTCTAGGTAGGAAAATGGTTGTAGGAGTCCCAGGCCACATTCCACCATCCCTAATAGGCGAGAGCTGCGTTTCCCCTACCATCAAATGTCCAGGGCTTCTCTCTTCAGTCTATTTTAGGCCACATGCTTGGCTCTGAATCAGTCACTGAGGACAAGCCATGCTGACTGGCTTAGGCCTGGGTTATTACCAAACCTGAAGAAATTACTGAAGCCAAGAGGGACGGATTAAAATGACTGGCTTAGGCCAATCAGGGCCTGGCCCTGGTAGTAGGAGGGGGAGTGAAACGCATGCAAGCTTTTTGGCTGTCGCAGTTGGGGAGGGGAGGAATGGGTGCCAACAGTGTCCACTACAGGCTTCCAGCACAGTGAGACTCCACTCTTAGGCAAAAAGTAACAAGTGTTGGAGAGGATGTGGAGAAAAGGGAGCCCTCATACACTGCTGGTGGGAATGCAAACTGGCGCAGTCACTGTGGAAAACTGTATGGAGATTCCTCAAAAAATTATAAATACCACATGACCCAGCTATCCCACTACAGGGTACTTATCCAAAGAACTGGACATCAACAATTCAAAGAGACTTATGCACCCCTATATTGATTGCAGCATTATGCACAATAGCCAAGATGCAGAAGCAACCCAAGTGCCCATTGACTGATGAATGGGTAAAGAGGATGTGGTATATATACACAATGGAACACTACTCAGCCATAAAAAAGACAAAACCACCCTACTTGTGACAACATGGATGGACCTTGAGGGTACTATGTTAAGTGAAATGAGCCAGACAAAGACAAACACCATATGATTTCACTCATATGTGGAAGATAAACATATGGACAAAGAGAACAGATTAGTGGTTACCAGAGGGGAAGGGTGTTGGGGGGTGGGCATAAGCAGTAAAGGGGCAGATATATATGGTGACTGACAAATAATAACATACAACTGAAATTTCACGATGTAAACTATTATGACCTTAATAATTAAGGCAAAAAAGGGGCCAGCCCGGTGGCATAGTGGTTAAGTGCACACGCTCCACTTCGGTGGCCCGAGGGTTCGCAGGGTCAGATCCCGGGCCTGCACTAATGCACAACCTGTCAAGCCATGCTGTGGTGGTGTCCCATATAAAGTAGAAGAAGATGGACACTGATGTTAGCTGAGGGCCAATCTTTCTCGGCAAAAAGAGGAGGATTGGCATTGGATGTTAGCTCAGGGCTGATCTTCCTCAAAGAAAAAAAAGAAAAAAGAATCAATACATGAAAAAAAAACAAGGACTCCACCCATTGTGGAGAACGACGGTAGTTTGCCTTTCTAGCATCCATTTCCCCCTATGGGCTACAACCTTAATTTGCACTGGGGGCTTCATTCCTTCCCCATTCTTAGACTATGTGCTTCTGGTGGAGCCCCATTTCCCACTCATGGGAGAAGCACGTGATCAAGATTTGGGCCAATCAGTGCACTGTCGTCTCCTGGCCCCTGGACTGCTTCTCAGAAAGGTGCTTGGCTTGATCAAACCCAAGGAAATACAATGATACTCACAGGGAAGGAAGGCTGGGACAGTGCTTGCCGCTCTTGTCTGCTGAACTTGACCCTAAGAGGATGGACGGTCTGGAGCTATTGCTGCTGCCATTTTACAGCCACATGGAGAGCACCTGGGGTTGGAGCTCATATAGAGAGACGGGAGAAACCTACTGAGCCACTCACACAGCCAAGCTAATTCCTGTATGTTTCAGTTTATGAGTCAACACGTTTCCTCTTTGCTTTAAGCCAGTTTGGGTCAGGCTGTCAGTTGGAACATCTTATATTGTACCATTCTCCTTCCTGTTCAAAGGCAGTGAATGCCCTGAGCAGTGCATGTGGGTGGCTACAACATTTGGTCCAAACTTTACTAAGTATATTTGTCGTTTGACACTAATATTACATGGAAAGCATCCCAGCTGTGAAAGATGTGGAGGGATGTTGAATGAATATGGATGAGATTTAGTCTAGATCAGGGGTAAGGGGTAGGCAAACCCACGGGTCAAATGTGGCCCACCACCTATTTTCATAAAGTTTTACTGGAACACAGCCACACTTTGTCTATGGCTGTTTTGTACTGCAATGGCAGAGCAGAGTTGAGTAGTTGCTTGCAAAGCCTAAAATATTTTCTATATAGCCCTTTACAAAGAAAGTTTGCTGCCCCCTGGTGTAGATGGTGGAGGAATATTAGCAAATTACTTTTCCCAAAATGAATACCTGTGTCCCCAGATGGAAGCAACACCGAGTAGCCCTCCATCACAGATCTCTGTATCCCATTCACATCAGGTCCTATTACCAGTGTTAGGAAAGCAAACTTTCATTAAACTGCACTTATCCCAGTGAATGACAGACGTCCTATGTCTGCTAAGATTTCACCTATGCAGTGCCTGTATCTTAGGAGCCCTGGCCACAGCGTCTGGGAAGCCTGCAGGCATGAGAACATACATTTCCCACCAGGGCCCTTCCCTCTGAGTTGGGACGCTAAAGCTACTGGCGTATTCCTGCAGGTAGCCCAGTGACCCACTTCCATAAGGAGGTAGGATCACTGTAAACATGATGGGAATGAGACAAGGTCTTCAATTTCCATAATGGAATGTCTGCATTGTTATCTGTACATCTGACATCTGAAGCCAATGGATTCCACTTCTGCCAACAATATAGTGCTCTCAGGGCCGGCAGGGAGCTCCATTTTTAATTCCAGCTGTCAAGCTCCTGCCAGAAGTGCAGCATAGACAGTTAATACTGGTGAGATAGCCAAGGTCACATTAGAAAACCCTGGCAGGGCAGTGGCTTAACTCCATCTCTCTGCTAAGTTAAATCGCAAGGAAGCAATGTAAGATCTAAGGCTCGTCCTCAATGAAAGGCCATCATGGAACTGTTATTTAATATATGGCCTCTGCTCTCATGTGAGGTCTTCATGAGAAGTGGCTTCATTGAGGATACTACTGCTTTGTCCACAATGCAGTGGCCAGATTCTAACTTGTGGCTTCTAACTCAGAAATGATACCATGAAGAGAGGGCAGTTTAGGAATATTGTTGACTGGTATTGTTATCTCAGGAGAGTTTGTGCTGGTTTATCCATGAGGCTCCCATTCTGCTTACAGTAGGGTCTAGCAGGCTTCCTAAGTTACATGGCACTCAAGGTGGGTCTGAGATGGGTCCAAGGGCAAAGTTGAGGCCCATCTGGATTTGGAGATCTGTAGTAGTTTTGTATTTCTTTCTTTCTTTTTTTTTTTTTGCTGAGGAAGATTCACCCTGAGCTAACATCTGTGCCAGTCCTCCTCTACTTTGTATATGGGTCTCTGCCACAGCATGGCTGACAAGTGGTTGTAGGTCCATGGCCGGGAACCGGACCCATGAACCCAGGCCACTGAAGCAGAGCACGCCGAACTCAACCACTATGCCATGGGGTCAGGCCCTGTATTTCTTTATTGACAGGGGAAATATTTATTTGGGGTAACCCACTTTGAATGCTGTATAAGTGCCTTCTACTTAAGGATCCACATATAAATCTGAGAATTTATCTCCGGGATCCACTTTGAATGCTCTTTGTTAGAAAACCCTCCAGACCCAACTGGGAGCAGAAAGGGAGCCTCGTGGACGTGCCAGTGTAAACTCCCCTGAGATAAGGATACCAGAAGACGACCCTCCCTTCTCCACCTGGCCAAACTCACCTACCCTTTGGGGCCCAGCTCAAGCCTCCCTCCTTGGTATAAAGCCAGCTCAGACTGAAGCAATCCCTTGTCTCTTAACCACACCAATTATTCCTGCAATTAATCTCATAATACCTTGCGGCTACTGGTGTCGGAGGGTTGGCCTATTGTTATAGTGATGGAAAGGATGCATTTCAATATTGCTTTGCAACCCGAACCTTTGTTAGCAGAGGGGCAGGAATTTCATTCTAGGATGTGGATTTGGTTTATGCTCTACTCTGAGGATACTCTGTTTTCTTCCATCAAGGAGGGTCAGGCCTCAGAGCACCCACCTTCTTGGCCTCCCTTGGGGGAAGGTCTCTCACCAGATGAGGAAGAAAGCCAGGTGACCACAGGATTCCGGCCTCTGTGACAACCCCCTGCCTCTGGCCAGGAGGTCCGCCCACCCACCTGTTGCTGAATGCCTGCCTTAGGACTCAGGAGCACAGTCCCTGCTCACGGTCAGGCTGAGGAGACAGACAGACACATAGACAGACCATGAATGCATGCCGAGTGCTGTGACAAAAGGAAACCGAATCGCTCCAGGGAGCTTGGGAAACACAGAGCCTTCCCCACTCCTTCAGAGGCAGTCCTCGACTGCAGAAGGTGTGTGAGGGCGGAACCCGACAGTCCTCTTCCTAATCACCAACACGCATGGTCTGGAATCTCACAGGAGGAGATGGGCCATCTGTGAGCAACCTTCAGTAACTCCTAACACAGGGCATTCTGAAGGCATTTTCTTGGTACCAGTCACAAATAAGAGACATCGTAGAAAATGTTATTCTTTTATTATTTCAAGGAGGTAATACATAGCCCAATACACCAAAGCAATAGGGAATTAGAGGCAGCAAATGGCCAGAGTTTTTGAGAAGAGCCTCCTGCTGCATCTCTGAGCCCCTGGCTGCCTGCAGCCCACGGCTGCTTACGTGAAGGCCAGGTCAGCGACGTGGAGCTTGCTCTGACCATAGCAGTGGACAGATGACCCAACTCAACACCCCACTGACCGAGAAAGGGTTCCGTGTGGGCAGCAGAGGCCCTGCCAGCTGCACACGGCGGGCAGCGCTCAGCCTGCCATAGTCTGGTTTACATGGCTGGTGCCTTCGCAGCAGCCAGCTTCTTTCCCACTTGGTCTTCTTTCTGTGAGCCTGGAGTGGGCAGGGTGTGAAGAGATCCTGAGTCAGAAATTAAGGTGCAAGACTTAGTAGTGTTAATACTCTGGGTGAGAAGACAACACTGTCTTTGAGGAGGGTGGCTGGGAGTTGGTGGAAGGATGGAAACATGCAGAATGGCCACAGGCTGCAGGCTGTGCATCTGCCTTGAGGACATCAGGGGGTTTTTCACGGTACATGATGGGGTGGGGTGAGAGGGACACAGAGTTGAACCAGAGGTTCATTTTCCACTCATAATTGGTTTCCTGGTCTAAGTCACCACACCTGGGGCCGAAGCAAATCCTGCCCATGCACCAAGCGCGACCTTGGAGAGATGTGTGGCTCAGTTCTCCAGCTGGTGGGGAGGGACTCACAACTCAAGGAGACTTTTCTCCCCCAGCCCCAGCTCCTTTCCCTTGCAAATGACCAGGGTGGGAGGTGAGAGCCTCGGGTACCTCCTAGGGAAGCCCCACTGGGGTTATTTCTGGAAAATTCATTTTGGTGGGGCCCAAAGCTCCCCCGCCGCCCCCCCTGCTTGGCATGGAGCAGACTTATTTCCACCCACAGGAGGGCACCTTCCTGGCAACTTAATGGTGGCGTGCAAGTGAAAATCGCAGCAGTGACTCTGGGAGCTGAAATACTCATAGACGTGATTCATTCAGTGTGACTGTCCAGGCTGGAGAGCTGGTGGGGAGGGGCTGCTTCTTCCCAGCATGCACGGTTCCCCAACCAACCCTGGCCAGGCCAGAGCCGGGCTTAGATGCCGCACGGGCCGACAGATTTTTGGTTTGACAGGAGTGGAAAGAATTTTTAAAAAACCATGCCACTGTGTTCTCCAAACTCAGAGCCATTGCTTTTCTTTTGTTTGACAGGAAAAGACAAAGAACCACAGCTCCACAGTGGCCAAGGCTTGTGCCGCACAGAATGCAGAATGTATCAAAACGTATAAACCTTGGTCTGACTGGGGAGGTGGGCAAACACAGAGCCGCGGGACCCCGTGTCCTCTAGTCGGTGGCAGGCTCTGCTGTTGCCTCATCCTCATGCTCCTCGAAGCCTGGGACTGGCTTCTGCAGAAAGTGCATGGTGGCCTGGATCACCTTATCTGGTCCAATATTGTACACAGGGTGAGTGGGCTGCTGCGAAGAGAAGAACAGATGCCAATGAATCACCCTGTGGTCCCTGGAAATATGCACGGCCTTTGACCCATTAAATGCACTGGTAAGAATTTAGCATAACAAATCGTCAGAGATGCTCATGGAGATTTATCACACAAGGCCCTCATGTGCAAGGACAGGGTACTGGAAAAACATTTTATGGCACATATGGCACATGGGACACAAAGGAATATTATATAGCCATTAAAAAGCATGCTTTCAAATATTTAATGATATGGGCAAATTCTTATAAACATATTAAGTGAGGAAAACAGGATGCACAATATTATCCCAAACTTACTTTTTAAAATAGTGTTTGTAGATATGCTGTATATAAATAGACAAAAGTTGGACATATACCAAAATAGGAACAGTGATATGATTGAGTGTTTTACATTTTCTTATTTATATTTTTATATATATTCCAATTAATAAAACAATGAACATGTATTTATATTTATAATCAAGAAAAAGGGTCACAACTCTATTATGCAGTAAAGGTGTCAGGCCATATTTAAAGTATTTTATATTATTCCACTACATCACAGAAACCCAAAAGAAACTTTAGGTCTGACACAGGGCACAATCCTAGGCCCGTATTCAGGACCCTTCCACTCAGGGAGAATGAAGAAGGAGACATAATTGCAGGAGAGATTTAAAAATTTTAAGAGAATACTATGAGCAACTTCATGTCAAAAAATATGAAAATTCAGATAAACTGAATAATTTTATAGAACAATATAAATTTTCAAAATTAAGAAGAAATTCTTTAAAACCTATGTGAATAAATCAAAATAATAACAATTGCTTATTCTGCTACCACCATTCTCCCCCAAAACACAGGCCTAGATGGTTGCTCAGGCAAGTGTTATCAAACCTGCAAGAAATAGATTATCTCTAACCTGTACAAACTTTTTCAAAGACTAAAAAAATTAATTAATTAAAAAATAGGGAAGGAAGATACCCATCTAATTTTCTGAGATTATGATACTATCCTGAAACATAAACTGGAAAAGAATAATACAATAAAACAGAATTTTAGATAAGTCTTTCTCATGAACATACATGTAAAAAATCTTATATAAAAATACTAGTCAAAAATACTAGCAAACTGAATCCAGCAGGGTATTAAAAACACACACACACACACACACACTCTCACACTCTACTATGACCAAGAAGGGCTTAACCCGGGAATGGAAGATTAATATCAGAATATTTATTAACAAAACATACCATATTAGATTAAAGGAGAAAAACCTGATGGAAAAAAAAGCATAAATAAAATTTAACACTAGATTATGACTGAAACAAACAAACAAAACCAGGAATAGAGGGGAACATCCCTAACCTGATATGAAGTATTTATCAAAACTCCACAGTAAGCATCCCACTTAATGGTGAAATTAAGAAAAAATTATGTAAGCCTTCCCATTATAACTGGAAGCAAGACAGGAATGCCCTCTGTTGGTACCTCCAGTCAACACTCCATGGGGGTCTCAGCCAACATACAAGGCAAGAAAAAGAAATAAAATTCTCAAAAATCAGAAGGGAAAAGGCAAAACTGTCCTTATTTGAACATGACATTATATTCTAAATAGAAAACCTAAGAGATTCTACAGACAAACTATTACAACTATTAAGAGAGTTCTGCAAGGCTGCTGGATACAAAATTAAAATAGAAATATCAATAGCATTTCTATACATTAGTAACAACCAGTTACCAAATATAATGGAAAAAATAATCCAGTCACAATAGACACAAAAACTATAAATTTCTTAGACATAAATCTAACAAAAGATGTACTAGTCCTTTATGGAGAAAATGATAAAAGACCACTGAAGGACATGTAAGAAAATCTGAAAAATTATGTTCATAAATAGGAAGCCTAATATTGAAAAGAACTTAGTTCTCTCCCATTAATCTTAAATTCAATGCAATTCCAATAAAAATTCCATTAGATTTTTTTGTGGAACTTGATAAAGTGATCCTAAAATTCACAGGAAAAAGGAAAAGGCAAAGAACAGCCACGGCAATTTTGAAGAAGAACGAGGTGGATGGGACTTGCTACCTGCATTTAAGATTTGCTTAAGACAGTGCAGACAGGCAGACACACCAGAGGAGCAGAAGCGAGCGTCCAGAAACAGTCTCCTCATATACAGAAACCTGAGTGTGTGACACACGGGACACACTTCAGCAGGAAAGGTTGTAAATGTCCACAAATGGTGCTGGTCAACTGCTTATCCACATGGAAAAAGATAAAATGATACCCACCCCTCACCACAGACAGAGATTAATTCCAAGAGAATTAAAATCTAGACGGGAAAATCAAAACTTAAGACTGTTTAGAAGAAAATATATTTATGACTTCAGGGCAGGGAAAGATTTCTTAAGTAACCCTCCACCCAAAAAACCCCTCAAAAACCAAAACAAGTAAAATTGTTTAATGTTTAACATTAAAATCTCCTATTTAACAAAAACACTGAAAAAGAAAGACAAGTCTTTCTTTGACAAGTCACAAACTGGAAGAGGTTCACCACACACACACACACACCACTGACAAAGGATTCGTATCAAGAACACACAGTGGCTGGCCCCGTGGCCTAGTGGTTATGTTCGGCAGGTTTGGATCCCGGGCACGGGACCTACACCACTCATCAAGCCATGCTGTAGTGGCGTCCCACATACAAAATAGGGGAAGATTGGCACAGATGTTAGCTCAGGGCCAATCTTCCTCACCCCCCGCCCAAAAAAAAACACAGAGAACTCTTACAAATACGTAAGAAAAGGGCAAACAATTAAAATTACAAATCAGTAAAAAAATGAGCAAAGGATCTGAGCTGGCAGCCAATTCACAGAAGATATAACACAAATGGCAAAAAACATTTGAAAAGATGCTCCACCTCACTAATAATCAGGGAAATACAAAACAAAACTGAGACACTGTTTCACATCCACCAGATTGGCAGAAAGGAAAAGTCTGACTACGGAGCGACTCCTCCTACTGCCGTGTGAGTGTGAAATAACACACACACGTTGGAGAGTGCTCAGTGCCGCCTCGTGAAGGTGAGCATGTCCTCTTCAACCCAGCAAGTCTCTCCTGAGAAACTCACACAGGGCTGTTCACTGAGACCATCTCAGGGTTAACCCACAGGAAATGAGACAAATAAATTGGGGTACATTTGTACAAGGGAATACCACACAGGAGTTAAAATGAATAGACCAGAGCAACACATGAACACAGATGAACCTCAGAAGTATAATGGTCAGTGAGAAAAGCAATGCAGAGTAAGTGGTACCACAGGTACTGTTATAAAAAGTTTGAAACCTACAAAACAATTCTCTCTCTATTGTTTATGGATACCTACATCTGTAGTAATAGCACAAAAACATGGCAGGCATGATGAATGTCAAATTCAGGACAGAGTTAGGCTGGGGAAGGAGGAGGGTTGCAGAGGAGGTCAATATGGAAAAATGTTCAGACTTGAAAAAGCTGAGTGGTTGTTACTCTGATTTTCTCTGACTAATTGTGAGGCTGGGCATCTTTTCATTCATCTACTGGCCATTTGTGTTTCTCCTGTTGCAACTATTTCATGACAATCTGCACGGGCCCCGTCATGTGATGGCTGTGGATGATCCTACTGGATTCACATCTGGGCTCAGGAGCGTCTCCTGCGGCCAGGCTGGTCTGGGGCTGGACGCAGTGGTGAGCATTCTGCCCACGTGGGGTGACAGTTTTTGAGGGAAGCAGACAGAAACAAGTTAAACACACACATTACAAACTGTGATGAGTGCTATGAAGGGCACGGACAAGGGGCCATGGCAGAGCATTTCGGGGTGATCTCATTTACAGACGGTGGTCTGAGAAGGCTTCTCTGGAGAGAT